TCCATTATTTATATTTTAGTCCCTAATAAAGCAGTTAACAAATAATGAAAACTACTGACCAAATATTTGTCCACCCACTTCGTCCGTGTAATTTCCTATTCCTTTATGGAGTATTTTAATTTTCTCTACACCCTATTTTATTTTCACGGCAACTAGCATATAAGGATACAAAATAGGAAAAATTGAAAATAATAATCCTAATTATTGTCAGTCCGCTAACAATATTTTTAACTATTGATTATTTTTGTATAATCCCAATTATATGTACCGTCCTGCAATAATGATCCATGACCAGATAAAAAGTGAATTTCAAATAAAATTAAGCAAAAAAATAAAAGTTGGAATTATTTATAGGGATTGTTTGCTATATCTCTTCTCATCCACTTTAAATTATATTAGAAAGTATAGGAATTTATTTATAGTCGGTCACGTCCAACAATTATTTAAGTTGGATATGTTTTTTTAATATTAAGGCGTTAAAAATGTTTAAAACATTTTTTGCTAAAAAAAATATACGGAGTATTGATTTTTGCCAAAAAAAAATAATATTTTTGTTTTGTTTCAATAGTAGGAGTAACATTTGATAGTGTATGGAGTAACATTTGATAGTATATGGAGTAACATCTTCTTCAATGTGAGTTACAGTTTCTTATGTTTGAGTTACATCTTCTTATGTTCGAGTTATATTGGGATCTACCTCAACACGTTACATTTTACATATATACACCTCAATTTTTTTTAAATAAACATAGAGTCGGCCACCGCATACAAATCAACCTGAATTGCTAGACACGAAACGGTCAATTTTATGCCTAAAATGATCAGAACCAAAACACACTGCCTATCAAAAGTATTTCAAATATCCAGATATCTTGATGAGACATACTCAAATAAAAACAAAACAAGTACTACTAAAGTAAAAATAACATTTTCCATAACAGCACGAGTTACATCACAAAATAAACCTCTACTATTAAAACATAATAAATCATTTTTGTGCAAAAATGACTTTTTTTGCCAAAAAATTGTTTTTTGCGGAAAAATATGATTTTTAAAATATTTTGTATGGCCTTAATATTAAAAGCAAAATATAAACACTATTTACGTAAAGTAATCGAGCAATTAGAATGTTTTTACTTGGATTGAATTTTTTTGGCCTGGTCTGATCTGATATGGTATGGTCTGGTCAAGTAAATGTCTTGTCTCTGAGTATTTTATAACTATCCAAGTCTAGTCTAATTTGATTTGCTCTTGTCCGATCTGATCTGAAACTGAAAACGGTCTAAGTAAAAACAATTTTGGACTCCTTGTTTGCAATATTTACATTAAAATCAATGTTATAATTGGAATATATTAGAATATATTTACGAATCATATGTAAATGTATTTGTATTCATATTCAAAAATTATTTGAATCAAAGGTCATATTTAAATACATATTCATATTCTATTTATTTGATTTTGAATCAAAGTTTGAAGCAAAATTATCTGATTCATTTACCATCCTAAAATCAAAGTTCGTCAAGGTATATTTGATTGGATTTATACTACTGTAATTTTCCTTGTATGGAAAGTGAAAAGAAAGAAACATGTAATTTTGGTTCTAAGGAAAGTGAAAAAAGAACCAAAAACATAACAGGGCTGAATTGAATTGATCGTCTTGAGGCTTTTGGAGGAGTACGTGGATGCATGTGCGCTAGAACAAGCCTGCTTCGAAAACCCCCAACATAAACGTACTCTTCCTGGATCCTACTTTCGATCACTACTTTTCCTGCAAATGCTGTTTCTTTTGGAATTTTTGTTTTTTCTTCTAGCGTCAACAGGAAAAATAGTTAGGAAAAAGGAGCAGCCAAAAAAGTCTTTGTCCATCGATAAATAATGAAATAAGAGATCAAGATCAGAGTTAGTCACACGATGGAACAATTCACCAAAAACCAGGTCTGTTGCATGTGTGGAAAATTATTTTAAAAAGGAATCTGCACACACGATAGAATATAAAATTGACGTAACAAACATTTCGCATTCCATTATTTCCATTATATTAATTATTAAATAAAAATATTTATCGTTTTAAGTAGAGCTAAATATAATTAATGAGCTTAATTAGATGTAACAGGGCTCATAAAGGCTAACAAACATCCAAAGTCATTAATCACTACGGAGGATGGGGAGCCCTCACTAGGCCCTAGCTGCTACTAGATAGTAGATTCCTGCTATGTGTAAAATTTTCTTACTGCCTTCGTCTCAAATTGATTTGCAAATTTGACTTTTTTTGGTCAAACAATTTCATTTTATTTTCTTAATTAGGACGTCAAATTTTAATTATATTCTAATTTGGAGTTTGCATCTTCGAAGAGATTTTAATATAGTTTCTGAATATGTAAATTTTAATTATTAAAATTTGAGTTGATTATCGATAGGGAGGATTGACTTTTATTATTGGTTGACCAAAAAATGTTGACTTTACAAAACAATTTGGGACGGAGGGAGTACGTAGTTACTCTGTACTTTCTTATTAGATGCGACGGAGTATTTTTAGAGCACACGAGATGGATAAAAATTGCTGAAACTAAAACTAGGTGTTAGTAATCTCGTTTGACTACATAATTGAGCAGGGGCGAAGCCAGGTCACCAGACCGATACAAAATACATTCTTCAAAAAAATTATACAAAACTTTTACACTAAAAAAGATACATTTTTTCAATTGGGGGGCCTAAGTTGGCCTCCTAGCTACGCCCCTGTAATTGAGATAATGACTGGAAAGGTAAAATTACCACAAGACATATATAGTAGGACTATATTTTAACACGTTAAAATGCGAATAACAAAGGGGTGTATTTGACATAAAATTGAAGTCAATCAAGAAATTGAACAAAAAAGCTACAATTAGTAATATTCTGGATCAATTGATTAATTTAGGATACAATCAAATTTGACTCTTCATACAAACAAGGTTAGATGTGATGATGTGAAAGAATTTTCTAACTTATCAAATTTCAACTGATTTTGAAATGAAATAATTATGCAAATATAGCTTTGATATAGGGAAAGTCCCGAAATATCACTAAAACAGTTTGAAAATTTTAAAATATGACTAACATGTTTTTTATTCTCAAAATAGGAGTAATTACAGTAAGGTTTGGAAAATACCGCCATGTTTGAAGTCTGGTACTTCCAAAACATGACAGTAATTAGTCCTATTTTGGGAATAAAAACATGACAGATCTATTTTCGAATTTTCAAACTTTTTCTTAGTCATATTTCGGGTAATATTCTCTTTGATATACAATAGTATATCTTTAGAAACCAAACATTACAACTCAGCTGATGGTGAGGTTACCGTGCATAGTGGGAGGTCTCGAGTTCGAAACCCGTTAGGCACATAAGGGTTCGATACTCAATGAAGTGAGTTTCCGCCCTCCAATTAAGTTCTATGTTGCTTTTCACACTTATTAAGGAATTTTTTTTTACCAAGGGTAAATTTTACTGTGTATACACTGTTTTGCACTGTTAGACACTGTTTTGATGTAGTTAATTTGTCAAATAAGGAAAGGGGAACTTAATTCAGGAAATACCCAAAAAGGAAACTAGGACTTATTGGGGGACGGAGGAGTATATTTTTAGAACTCGATACTTATCTTTCTTGGCCTGATAGCCTATCGTATGTTTTAATTTGCTTCTTTTTGCTTTTGCTTTCGTTTCTTTTTTGCATTCTTTACGCTTTTTGCTTGTATTTTCTTCTCTTTATCAATAAAGTTCCAATTTACAAAAAAAAAAAAAAAAGCCTATCGTATGTTTTATTTTCTATAGCAAGATTGTATACTAGATCTTGTAAGTTTTTATTTTACGAAAAAAAAAAGTTTTTATTTTACGGCTACAGTTAGAGGTGGATCCTATGTAATTCAAAGGTAGTTTTCGGTTGAACAAAAAAAAGTGAAAATAATGCATTATGAAAATGCGATTTAGCAAACTGCATAAGCCAGTTACTTCTAAGATATGAAGCATGAATATTTCATTAGGGTATCATATCGACGTATCAGAAATATTCTCATATCAGAACTCTAGGATACTTGTGCAATGCGTTTCTGGGCCGTATCAGATAATTATATTAAAATTTTGGATACTCGTATCCTGACGAATACATGTATCAACTTTTTAAAAAATAAAACACCCAAATAATGACTTGTTTTAATCTTGCACTCAAGTAAGTATATCGACGACGAGTAAAACGTGGGATGTTGGTGGATATGACTTTGGGAGCATAGAGGATGTAAGAGTTTTTTAGTTCGCCAATCTTTTCATAGATTAACTAGAGTTGGAGGCTGTCTTTTTGGGAGACGATGTTATCCCTAGAAATTACTAGCGCCAATGAAAATATGTATTAGAATTTTTCGTTTTCTTATTAGAGTATTGTTTTTTATCTCCATTATCCAAGAACTTTGAGTGCTTGTACTTTTAATTTCAAAGTTGTGCTTGTTTGTCTCATTTCTCATTTTACAGTAATGACTTATTGACCATATTTATACTTCAAGATATACTAATGTATATATGAGATAAAAAATGAATTTATGTCTAACTATCTTGATAATGTGAAATACTTTAATGTCATGAGCGGAAAAAGGTCAGAGAATAATATATCTATATATTTTCAAAAAAATCTTACTACCTCCGTCCCAAATTGATTTGCACATTTGACTTTTTTTGGTCAAACAGTTTCATTTTATTCGCTTAATTAGGATGTCAACTTTTAATTATATTTTTAATTCGGAGTTTACAACTGTGAAGAGATTTTAATGTAGTTTCTGAATATATAAATTTTAATTATTTAAAATTGAATTAATTGTCGATAGAGAGCATTTACTTCTATTATTGGTTGACCAAATAATGTTGACTTTCTGAACAATTTGGGACGGAAGGAGTATAATATTTAATATTTATAAATACACTCCCATAATATTTAAACCTCACAGAATACATTCAACAAATCCATAAAAAAAATCAAAAGAGCTAGACCACGCAACAAGCACCAAAGTTCGATGAATCCAAAATAACGGCCGGTCTTCATTCCTCAACTCTCAACTACAGTGCGTATTGGTTTTGGTAAAAGACGGTCCAAAATAGTCGTAGTAACAAAGATCCTCTTCTATGAATCCACAGATACGGAAAGGAATTGGGCAAGTAAAAAGACGAATGAAGGAATGCATAGTAGAAACGATATATGAAGTGACGGAACGCGGTTTGGCCGGGTACGTCTCAAGAATGCGATGGATTATTGATACAACTTCCTTATTCATCACACACGGTGTTTGGAACTGATTCTGTTTTTGTTTCTTTTTTAAAGTAGAAGTAGAATCAGAATAAGTTTTCAGAAGTTGTACCCCACAACTTCTAAAAAAATTGATTATGGGAGTAAATTAAATCACCAGAAGTGCTTCTGGAATTTCACCCAAATACTCCATCTTCTGTTTCTGCTCCTTGAAAGAGAAGAATCAGTTTTGATAATTAGATCCAAACACCCCATAAATTGATAGGATGGATGATGGAACCTTAGCTTTTCTGTTGTTTTATAATTATTCTCGCACATCAACTAGCTCTTTCTCTTCTTTGTATGTGGCCATGTGAGTACGTAGACATAGACACACTTTGATGGGTTCCATCTTACCATCTAGACCTACCTCCGGTTCGAATCTGGGACTGAACCGCTAGTTCACCGTTCCAAATTTCAGAGATTGAACCAAAATTGTACAGTATCGGTTCTAAAAACAATGGTTCTGGTTTAATTGTGGTTCGGTTTCGGTTCAGTTTTTCGGTTCCAAATTAGTTGGGTTTGTGGGCAAATGAGAAACAAATAACATAGCCACAAATTTATTACTACGTACTTTAAAAGCAAAATGACAATGTTTTTTGGACAAATAAAAAAGAAAAGATGGTAAAGTCTAGTGAGACGGAGAGACTATTTTTATACAAATTTAATTAAGTTTTTAAAAATAGAGTTGGTAATAAGCTATAAGATTATTGGATAATAAATAATTGTTATTTATATAACTAAGTGGAATAATTAGATACTCCGTAGTTGATAACTGAATAGTTTTTTAATACCCTACTAAATAACTAAGTAGTAAACAATTTGATTGTATAAACAATTTGATTGCATAATTTGTCAATTATGCACTCTTATAACTATAATTTGTAATACTAAAGTGTTGTAACTAGCAATGACTAAAGTTACTCCATTCTTACTATAAAATTCTTCCCACTTATCATTTTGAGATGCCTCTAAAAATTCTTTTTATTTCTCATTTTGGAAAGTTTTGTGGTGCTAACATTCATTTACTGTTTTCTTACTCAACCATAACCACACATTTATATTTTATTCTCACTTCCCTAAACTCTGATTCAAGTCACATCAGGAAGAATTTTAACGGATGGAGAGACTGCTAACTAATATTCCGTAATCATTATTTGTTACTCCCTCTGTCCCTCTAAGTTTGGGACCAAGGGGTGTGGTGTGGTTTTTAAGAAAAAGTGGAATTGTGTGGTTGATATTGAATTGATAAAGTGTAAATAAAGTAAGAATGAATTCTAACCACTCAAATGTTACCAAATATGGTATGAGACAAACTTAGTGGGACAGACGAAAAAGGTAAAACGGGACAAACTTAAGAAGACGGAGGGAGTACTATAAACAGAATATCATGATCACTTAAGTGCAAAAAATGACCATAAATTATTATGACTAAAATTAGTATTATAGCCACTACATTGACCTTGAGAGAGTGATATTTTTATAAACAATCTTTATTTTAGATATAAGCATGTAAATGTTTCTATTATCTATCCTATTAAGTTAACTTTTCAAATGAAAATACAAATATTTAGGGAGTGTTATGTACTATCGTACATGTTATCGAGTCATCTTCAATCTATTCGGTAGTACTTTAAAATTTTGTCATCTTTCGCTCTTGGGAGGTTCTAATGTTGATTCACTTTCCAGATGGAGAAAACCAGATACAGATAGAATTAAAATAAACACAGATGCTGCTATAAACCGCGGTGCAGGAATGGTTGGCCTGGGTTGGGTTGCTCGAGACAGTACAGGAGCTTTTCTAGCCGGGGCTGCTATTCCTCGAAAAGGTGTGTGCTTACCGAAAGAGGCGGAGGCTCTCTCTATGAGAGAGGCGCTAAGCTGGATTAAGGCAGCGGGTTGGGACCAAGTTGACGTGGAATCTGACGCCTTACATTTGGTTGAAGGAGTTCACTCGGCTTCAACTGAGTCTTCTTTTGGATTATTGGTAAACGACATCAAGGAGTTAGCGACTAGTTTTTCTAGTATTACTTTCTCCCACGTGAAGCGGTCAGCGAATCGGGTGGCCCATCATATGGCACGGGCAGCCGTTTCTATGTCTGATAGCTGTTTATGGCAACACTTTCCTCCTGGTTGTATTTCCCTGTACTTGAACTCTGATCTGATTAATAATAATTAGTATTTATTTCTGCAAAAAAAAAAAAAAACTTGATGTTTCTATTAAATTTCTATCATATAATTTCTATCATATAAATGTGCACATCAAATTTGTCAATCTGAACGGATGATGGAGAAGGATCAAGCGATTTGAAAAGTAGGGAGCATATGTGAAAAAAAAAATTAGGAGAGGGAGCATATGTGGAATAAGGTCAAGGTTGAGACTTGAGAAGAGAAATATTGTACGTAGTACTCCGTAACAATTATTGGTGGTGGTTTATGCATTCATACGCATACGCATAGGTAGGGGAGGGGCTTCCAATAATAGAGTACAACTCTTGACTTGGGTTATAGATTATGCTGTACGACCATACCACTGTTCTCTGACACTGTCTTTCCATTCGGCGGCTCTTTCTTCAGTCTTCGCTATCTTTTGACCAAAATCTTTTTTCTGTCAGGGTATTTCAATAGGATTGTGTTCTTGTCTCGGACTCTAGGATCCGCTTCAGTGAATCTCTTGAAATTATTCAACTTTAGATGAAAGACCCCAATTTACCCCAAAATAGTTACTCAAAATAGGAATATTAAGTTCATTGAATTTTATTAATCGGTTACTTGAATTTCTTTAAAATTTAACTAACAGAATAAAGACCAAATTATATGGATAAAACATAGAGAAGGCACTTCGTATCAGGCCGGCCTGACGAAAACAACCGTCAGACCGAGCCCATTTGAGGTTCTTTCTGGTGGTATTTTGTAATGAAACTTTTTAGACATATTCTTCGTCAAGTCTAGTTTATTCATACTAAATTTCAGTAAAAAACTCAGAGCCCGTTTGGTAGCACCAAAATCGGCTGTTTTGGCTGATTCTGCTGAAATTTATGATATTCTGGCTGGAGTGGCTGTTTTGGCTGATTCTGCTGATTTAAGAAAAAAAATATTTTAAAAATATATTTTATTAATAAATTAAAGAAAAAATTATATGTAAAAATAGCTAAAATGGTCCTCTACAATAACTTCAGCCAATACAGCCAGAAAAGTAAGTCCAACCTTACTTTTTCGGCTTATTACACAATTCAGCGCGCGAAAGTAAAAGTTACGTGTTTGGTGAAAAAGCTGGCTGATAAGCCTGATAAGCCGAAAACAGAGTTCTCCAAACGGGCTCTCAATCAGAAAGACATTCAAATAAATGTGCATTATATACATACACCAATGTTTGTTTCAACAATTTATTTGATTGTCTTCCCGATTGAATTTTTAGCTGAAATTTGGTATGGATAAACTAGACTCGATGATGAACATGTAAAAAAAATAATCAAAAATTTCCACCGGAAAGGTTCCAAAAAGCCATCGGCCGGATGGCGATTCCTCAGGATCGCTACTCAAAACATAAATTCTCAACACTTCAGCCTATGTTAATGTACTTAAACCGGCTCGGACCATATAGGAAACCGGCGACCCGCTTCAAAGACCGGGCCAGTTAGGAAAAAATCCAAAAACAAACCCGCCTTAACTCAAAGACCCGCTCAAAACCTACCCGTAAACCCCTTTTGAAACTCGGTAGAAACCAAAAAAAAGTTGGACATTTTAATTTATCCAAAATGTCCACTACACTATGAAGCTTGGGTGTTACTCCGTACAAGTTTTGTTTAGTTGATACTCTGTCTTTCCTGTTTTAATTATTTTACTTTTGATTTTTGTTGTTTTAAAATAAGTATCATATTTTTGTTTTACGAAAAAATATGAAATCTATACCATTTCATTTTACTATACTCAAATATTAACTACAATTTTAATTTTTGAACCAATTTATTAATAATTGTGTCAAAATGGGACATGTGTAGTATTATTTTTTAATGTTTCAATATGTTTAAGCTAAAACTTTTATTGATAATTATTAAAATATAATCACATTAAACATAGCCTTGTTATTGATATGCCCCATCTGTCTCACTCGACTTTGGCAACTTCCCTTTTTATCTGTTTAAAAAAACTTTCACTTTCTTTTTAAAGTAATGAATTTGTGGTTATGTCGTTCATTTCTCTCTCTCCCTCTTCTGCAAAAATCTCAAACATACAGTTTTTACTATTTTAATTTCACACCCAACATCAACTTGATAAATTGAGTGAGACGGAGTTAATACTACATATCCTAATGTGTACAACATTCAAAATATGAGTAAAAATACTTCTAAACTTTTTAACAGGTTTGTTAATACTACAAAAAACATGTGATTGACGAGAATATTTTGTAGAGATTCGCCCAACTTCATAGAGAATTTGGCAAGGATATGTCAAACTCGTGCAAAAAACAATTCAACACAAGTTATTTGGTACGAAATCATTGGTCAATCTGTGCCAATCCGTGTTAATCTTGTAATCAATGGTCAATATGTGGTAATCCGTGCCAAATACACATTTTGAATTTAGTTAAATGACGTATACATTAGAACAATAGTTTCATTTTCAATGATGTGATTATTAATTACTAACTTTGTCCGGTTTTCGTTCATTATTTTGTGGTCAACGTAAAATCTTTTTAATTTTTTACTTTAAATATCCGACCTTTATCGTTTTGAGCTTTTTGCGAGTTTATAAAACTTTTAAAATAATTATAATATTGTAATTTTATTTACTAAAAATTTTAATTACGAAATAGGGATCGGTTAGCTTTATACGTAGTCAAAATTCGTAAATGGCGTGAGAAACTCTCTACCAGATGGAGGAAGTTTAGTAATAATATTATAATTAATGAATTTTTCCCTAGATTTTGATAATATACTCCGTACATAGTAATACAAAGTTTATACTATGTATTTTAATTCTTAGAAAAATAGTTTCCTTGGGATTTCATTGCACGTAGAACCTTACATTACATTGTAAATCAATTTCGGGTTTATTTTTGGTTAATTCGGCCCATACTTTAATCCTTACATATGACAGGGCTAAGGTATCATATACACATGCCCATTATTGGCCCAAAATAGGAGTAGGCCAGATAACCAGAAACACGTTTATGACTTTATGACATATGAACAATAGTGCACTGCATCATGGATGTTGGACTCTAGTGTGAATCCAAGAATTTGGGTAGAACTAGGCTTAACTTTAGCTGGTGGGCTAAACATAAAAATGAAGAAATTTATACAAAAAATGATCTTTGTACCCATTCTTATACCCACTTTTGTACTCACCTATGTTTGTGAAATGTTTTTTTTGTCTGTGAACCCCGGCTCACAGACAATATTTTGCACAAACAAAATATTGTCTATGAACGGGTTCACAGACAAAAAAAACATCCACAAACATGGTGGGTATAAGGTGGGTATAAGAGTGTGTACATCAAGCATTGTTGACGTGCGTGCATTTCTAAAGCACTACACCCGCTACTTGGCCTGGTTATAAATGATGGGTCATAGCGGTGTAGCGGACTAACGCCAGGTCATATGTTTAGCTCGTAGATCTACTCATCATCTATAGGACCAAAGTCCCGAACCGTTATGACCCGGTTCGGTTCCAAAATTTATTAGTTATTTCTTAATCGTTCGGTTCCTATTTTTATCAACGATTCGGTTCTCGCTTCCTGAAAAAAATATGTACCCGGAACATTTAAGGAACCATTATATATAATAATTAAAATTATATATATTTCTTATTAGTATATATATTTTAATGTATATTTACTTATCTATTTTTATATTACATTCACTATTTTAGTTTAGTTAATTAACTATTTAAAATTATTTTTCACTTTAACTGGTCTTATTGTGCTTCTTTAGCGAATATCTTGTTTTGTTTTATTTACTAAAATTTGCAGTTTGTTATGTATTTATGTTTTAAACTTAACTTTTGAGGTTGGAAATGATGTTCAACATCTTTGTATTATAATTTCAAACGTCTTTTTGACACAAATTTAGACCGTGACTTTTAAGAATTTTTTAAAGACTAAGAACCGTTAAATGACAAGAATCGAATCATTAAGAATGGTTCGGTTCTTTATCGGTTCTATAAAATAATTTATAAGAATCGAACCGTTAGTAAAATTTCATATTTTCAAACAGTTCTACATACTTTTCTTAGGAATCGAACCGGTCCCAGGCTTAATTCATCTACACGAGTACACGGTTAAGTTGTTATTTTGTTAATCTTTTTCTCTTCATGTGACAACTCAATTGTGAGTATGGTGGATAATTTTGTTTATATCTTTCTGATCTAGCTTTACTTTGCTGTTGATATGGTTAAAAATTATTGACATTTTTGTTAATATAATTGTTTTTAATTTTTTGTTATGAAATAATACCTAATATAATAGTATATGCCTATAATAAGTGTAAAAACTATGTTGTGAAAATCAGATCGAGAAATGAACCGGCGGATCAACCCAGTCAATGCCAAGAGAACCGATCAACGTTAATTGAAAATAAAACATATAATATGTATGGAGTATAATTATATAATAGATTAAAGTTGTATTGTCATGGATTACTCATTCAAAAATTTAAAAAGGAAAAATTGAGAAGAATAATCCTACATTTGACTGATCTTCTCATAATAATCTCACTTTTACGTAATTCTAGAATAATTCCACATTTGCACCCCATTTTCTTTCATTGTATCCTGACCTGTTGATGATCTACTATACTAGGTTCTTTACGCTTTCTATGAAAATCTTATATAAATAATCTCACCTTTCACAAATCTGCTCAAAACGGTCCCATGTTTATTTTTTTCTTTTTTCTCCCTAAATGTTTTCACAAATAGGAATGAATAAGAACTGATGTGCCAAAATGTTAGATTTTTTTCACAAAATTTAACATATGTTTGGAATTAGATATTTAGATGGACAATATATGCACATAATACTAAAAGTATTTTATAAATAGTTGGTTAGTATGATAGTAGCAATAAAAATGGTTATTATTATGATAACTACTAACTAATACTCCGTACTTAGGGGTGGAAATATGTCA